GGAGAGGCAGGCACTTGTCAAGACAGCTCCCTCTTCCTAAAGCTTCAAGCAAAGCAGAACTTCTGATGAGCTTAGACCCTGGAGGAAAAGCAAGCTGTCCATCCAATTTACTGCCTGCTTTTGTACTGCCTCTTTGCCTATCTTCTTTTTTCAGCTCCACATACAGTCCTGGCCTGAATCAAGTATATGTTTACAGTGCTGGAGCATCCTGCTTTGTGTAGAATCTGGGGGGAAATCAACATGCAGAGAAAAGAAGTGGGATAATTTTAGGGCCATGTAAAACAAAGATCCAGAGAGAGGTATAGAGAGGCTCACTGGTAACAATTAATGCTTTTTTCTTTGCTTTCAGAAGCTGAGTATTGAAGAATTGCTCCCTTGTTCAAATTATGTTCTGCTAAGAAATGTTATCTTTCTAAGGATGAAAACTGGGATTTATTTACAGTAATAAAAATTAGCAGCCTGATCACAGCCTATGATTCTGCTTTCTGACAGTAGATTTGTTATTTCAGGCTTAGTTACAGATATTAAACATTAACTGAAATTTGTTCCCAACAGGTTCATGAGATTTACATGCTTGGAGAGTCTTGTGGTCCAATTGTACATATGATTTGCAAATGTATGATGGAAGTCCCACTAATTGCAACATGTAAAATTGTTGCCTCATTACAGTCTTGATGATGATGATGATGACAACAACGATAACATTTTGTATCCTGCTTCCTCCCATAATTGGGTCTCGAGGTGGCTTACAGTTTAACAGAGTAATATAGTTAAAACACACAGAAAGTGAATATTAAAATAGAATTAAGCTGGTTACAAGATTAAAACACTTCAAATCTCTAGATAAAAGAATAATTTAAAAAATTAAAAACTATTAAAATAGTATAGTTTAAAACAATACACCATCCCCAAGCCTGTTTTTAACAAATTTTCTGTATTAAAAGCCTGTCTGAATAAAAAGATTTTAGCCTGCCGACAGAAGGAAAACAAGGAGGGAGCCATTCTGGCCTCCCTGGGAGTCTAGAGGCAGCTACTGAGAAGGCCCTCTCTCACATCACCACCAGTCAGGGGCATCACAGGGGGTGGGGGGGCTACACCGGGTGACACCCTAAGGCAGGGGTAGGCAACCTTTCCCCTTTAAGGGCCAAGGGACTTCAGCTCCCAGAATCCCAGGAGCTATTGGCCAACATGGGACTATTGGCCAACATGGCTGAGGCTTCTGGGAACTGAAGTCCCTCGGCCCTTAAAGGGGAAAGGTTGCCTACCCCTGCCCTAAGGGAAGGTGACACCACTGTTCCCCAAACATTTGCCTTTTGACATAAATGGGCTGTGGTGTTTTCCTGCATTCCCTTAAAACGCTGAAGAGATGATGTGAGTGGGGTGAAGATCAGTGGGAGGAGAAAGTAGAGGCCCCAGTTTTTTAAAAAAATTAAAATTTTAAAATCTTATTTTTTTAAAAAAATCTTTTAAAATATTCCTTAAAAACATCACATCTTACCAAATTTTCAGTTTAACCACATAAAACTATGTACATGTAAATACATTTAGGCTGTGTGTATGATATTGTAATTTAAAGGTATAATTTTAATTTTGCTAGTTGTTTATGCCACAACTATTACCATTATAGCTGATGTCTCTCTGGAGGCAGCTGAAGGCCCAAGACGGCTGGGAAGAGGAAGAACAGGTGCACGCCTGTTCCTCCTTTTCACAGCCCTCTGCATGCCAGGAAAAATGACTTTGTGTGCCATCTCTGACATGTGTGCCATAGATTTGCCACCACAGTAATAGGGATTACACGTCTATTCCAAAGTAAATCCCACTACATTTGTTAATACTTACTCCCAATGAGTGTGTACAAGACTGTAGCCTTAATCAGTTAAACTTCACAAATCAGTTAAACTTCACAACACCTCTGTTGTGTAGCAGTAACTGTCTCCATTGACTGTTGTTAAAGTTTCTTTAAAGTATAGTGGAGAGAGGCTGAGTAATTTAATCAGAAATGCCATATTGAAAACTGAGAAGAGAATTACATCTACATTTGAAAGCTTCAGAATTTGATGAAATTACTTTTGAAGCTTAAGTTTAAAAGAGAGCTTCAGATCTATGACAGAAACTAGCAAATAGCTGAACAAGATGAGACAGAGTAAAAGAGAAGAGTAAATACAGGGTGATCTCAAGGAAATCCATAATCCTTGATTCTTTCTCTCCCACTTCCCAAAATAATGATGCTTTGTTTTATATTACACTGTTAGAGGTTTTTAACCAGCGCTAAAAAATATTTTTTCTTTTTACTTCTAGAGGAAAAAAATAATTGCCTATCTGACAGATGGAAGTATACAGCAAAGCAACAAAAGTTTTCCTTTCCATACGCCATTAAGTTTTGTCACCGGAGCTTATCACTTTGGCAATACTCCTGACACCCATTTGCTGTATACAACTTCCCAAACATCATCAAGAGACCGGTAATGAGATAAATTTTTGTTCTAAGCATTTTTCTTTCTCAGAATGTAGAACTTTATGAGCAGAGCCTGAAAAGGTTACTTTTTAAAAACAACTCTCATATACTGTATTTTTCACCATATAAGACGCACTTTTTCTTCCCCAAAACAGGGGTGGGGAAGTTGGTGCGTCTTATAAGGTGAATATATGCCGGGTAGAGGAGGAGGAGGATGAGAACGGGGAGTGGGGAGAGAAGGAGAAGGAAGCCAGGGACAGAAAGAGGGGTTTGAAAACGGAGAGAGAGGGAAGAAGGAAGAAACCAAGGGAGAAGGAAGAAACCAAAGCAGAGGGGTTTGAAAATGGAGAGAGGAAGAAGGAAGAAACCAAGAGACAAGGGAGAAGGAAGAAACCAAAGCAGAGGGGTTTGAAAACAGAGAGAGGAAGAAGGAAGAAACCAAGAGACAAGGGAGAAGGAAAAAACCAAAGCAAAGGGGTCTAAAAACGAAGGGAGAAGAGAGAAAGAAAGTCCAAGGAAAAGGGGTCTAAAAATGAAGGGAGAAGAGAGAAAGAGTCCAAGGATCTGTAGTTTTCTTTGGGGTACCAGAGCTCTCTGATAGAAAAGGCTAAGTATCTCACAAAACTGTATATCCCAGAATTCCATAGCTTTGAGCCAGGGCAGTTAAAGCGGTGTAAAACTGCTTTCATAAATCTCTGCAATGCAGATGCAGCCAAAGTTAATCTGTTGCTTAGACATAGGTTCTTTAACAAATAATTCTGCATAATGAGAGAGAGTACCCTT